GAATGCCATTTGGGGTCAAAAATCACAAAGTTAAGAGTCAGTTTCTTGCCATAACATGCTTGTTCAGAAGATCAGACCCACAGATTCTCCAACATGACAGCAACATCACTGCAGCACTGTGAAAGCCTCTCAAAGCAACTACCGGAAGGGCAATTCTCCGTAAGGGCTGGGTAGATTATATTATTGCAAAGATAACCTCATGGGTGTCCACATCCCTACCATGACATCAGTCTTGGACATGTGACAGAAACTCGCTCTGGCCAGTGAGATGGGAGCAGAATTTATACGGCTCATTTTTGAGCAGAAGTTCCCAGGGCCAATAAGTGGTTTCCTGTCCCCTTTCCCTCTGTCCAACTGAAATGATTTAGTAGGAACCCTCTTAATTAATGCAGAAGTTTTAAAAATGGCTTACTGACAAGTGTTCCTTGCCCCAGGGCTCAGTTGATTAAAGTTTTGTCACTTGAAGACACTTCAATTTTATAATCTACTAGTTGGACACATGAATAAGTTTCATCGTCTATAAAATCTTATAAATCCTTGAGTTTTTTGACTTTCTGTCTCCCTTTGTCACAGACCAGATCGAGGCTGCTCTGTCTGCCAGGGTCCCTGACAAAGGAGGTCATGATGCTGATCTATGGTTGACATGTGGGAGGGTCAGTGGTACCTCTGTGTTGCTGTGAGCAACAGCAATGAAGGGGGGAGCCCTGTGTTACTAGTAAGAAATCTAACCTCCCTGATTGAGTTGTAGATACTGGCAGGCATGTTAGTTTCCTCTGCTTGTCTTAACAAGTCCCCACCAACAGCCCCCACAGTGGTAGAGGCTGGAATCTGAAATCGCAGTGTCAGCAGGCCTGGTCCCTCCTGCCGGGTCTGAGGGACCATCTGCTCCATGCTTGGCTCCTAGTGTCTGGTGGTGGCTGGTGGTCCCAGCCGTCCTTAGCCTGGACTTTGGCCACTCAATCTCTGCCCCTATTGTCATGGGGGATTCTCTCTTGTGTGTGTCTATTTTACACAGCATTCTTTTCTCTGTGTCCAAGTTTCTCATCTCATCAGTCACCAGATTAGGGCCACTCTCACCCACTGTGACCTTTTCTCAATCTGCTTACATCTGCAGATACTCTGTTTCCAAATTCTAAGATTCAAGGTGCGTGTGACTTTCAGGCACCCAGTACAGTATATTTCTGTGAAAAATACGTTTGTTGCACTCCTATTAGGTCCCAGACATTGAGTTAAATTTCTCTCTTTTGATCTTTTCAATAATCCTGAAGTAGGACCTATTGTCCTTTTTTCATAGATTAAAAAGGGCGACTCAGCAGATTGTAAGAATTGTTCAAGGTCATATAGCAAAACATGTGGCAGAAAAGGCACATGAACCCTGCTGTTTTGCCACTAAGCCAGGGTGACCTAATGTGAACTATTCTAACACAGGGACACTTGACATTGAAATTCTTTTGTTTTTGTTTTTGCATTTTTTTTTTTTTTTTTGGCCAGGGCTGGGTTTGAACCCACCACCTTCGGCATATGGGGCCAGCGCCCTACTCCTTTGAGCCACAGGTGCTCCCCCCCTCTTTATGAAAGGCAGCTATGACAAAAAGAAAGATTGTGTTCATATCTTGGCTCCCCTAAATAAAAACAAAGGACAGGCTTTCAGATGGAATCACCATCACTTTTCTGGTGAGTGCTTTTTACTTGTGTGAACAGCAGTCATTA